TTATGACACAAACCCTTTTGATTTATGCAGTGCACTTATCTACTATGGTCTGGGTTTTTTTTTTCCCCCCACCCTTTTTCTGTTTTATTTTCCCATTTTTATTAGGTATTCTCTATAATGAAATGTTATTTCTACCCTTGCACCCAAGTATTGCTGTAGCACTCCTCCTATTCCACGGTCTACAACACCACACGCATCCTTTGATTGCATAAAGGAGGCACAAACAACACTAACAAGCTGCTACCTCAGCCTCCTCTAACTCACCAGGCTAGCAGAAAATGAATGTATTTAAATGTGTAAAATGAAATCATCACCCTCCTGCAACCAGTGGCAGAGTTCCCTGCATTTCACCAGAAGCAGGAGAGCAGCTCCTGTTCCCTGGCTAACGCCACTTTCCAGCCAACTGAATCCTGAACCTACAAAGAGCTGCAGAAATTTGTGTTACAGATTTGCCTTTACAAAGGGTTAAAAAAAATAATTGTGATCAAGTATTTATTGCATGCAAAACGTGAAGTTTTAATAAGCTACTTTTCAACAGAGCATGTTTGTGACTTTTTTTTTTCTTTGCTATCCACCACTTTAGTGGTTTGGGTTTAGAAATGATTTACATAATGTTTCATCATTTTAAAATATTTCATATTTTCTTCCTTATTTTTATTCTTATTCTTCAACCTATTTTATTCCCGTTCTTCCTATTTTTACATGGATTTTGAGCTCAAGATTTCTGCCAAACCAACACTGTTAATATTAAAAACTTCTGATTCTGGCTGTTTATCTTAAAACTCACAAACTTCCCCAAATATCATCACCTACACTAACACACACCCTTCTTAGATAATCTGTAGCTAGAGAACAAACACTTCCTAGCAAACAGATCCTGTATCCATCTTCATCAACCCCAGTCAATGCTAATCTGAAAGGCTCATGAAAGTAAGAGATGAATGTTATTGCCTTGTTCATCAAATATTTGATCGTTCTAAAGGGACTGTCAAACAAAATGCCAATTAAGATACGAGGTCGGGTTTATTATGAGCCATACAAAGAGGAAAAAAATAGTTTTACCTAAGTCATCTCGTATTTGTCATGAAGAGTAATAACCTCTGGACCTCATAATGACCTGGGTGCCAGACTCCAAGCAGAGGCAGGAAAGGTTCCTACAGGCAATGCAATACCCCAGCTCAGAGACTGCTGTGAGTTTAGCACTAGAATGACAAAGAAAAATGCCAAACCCTAAGACAATATATCCCAAACATCACAAAAATGAAAAGAAATGGTTGCTTGGCAAAATTTGGGGTACTTCTAGATTGCGTTATAGTTTGTCCTTTACTGATTTTTCAGAAAATCTGCAATGAGTTAGAAAGAAAACTGAACTGACATGGGATAGCATCTAAGAGCTTGTGTTTGAAGGAAGAGAGGGATGGCACATTGGGATGGAAAACACTAGAAGCAGCACAGAGTAAGGCACAAATGGAAGAGTGGGAAGAGAAGCCAGCAGTGATGCCAAGGTTAACCCAACAACTGGATAGAAAAGCACCAGGAGAAATAAGATCCAAGACAGAAGATGGGACAAAACCACTTAGCTCTGAAATATCTGAACTTGCTCAGATAGACAGAATAACTAGGAGAAAAATGTGAATAAAAGATGGTTATGAGCACAGGAAAGGAAAATGGTCTTTGCAGGACTGGCTTCAACAATTCTGCAAAGTTGAAGGAACTCAACATCATTAGAGAGAGATGGAGCCTGGCTTCTAGTAAGGCAAGGAAGGCCAAAAACTTGCAAAGCCTGCAAGAGGTAGACCCAAATTTTCTCCACTGAGAATGTGAAGTGATAAGACTCAAGCAAGAAGCAGAGCACTTATCACCACCCAGCTCATCAGCAAACCAGTATCAAGAGAGAAGCCTTGTGATTACCAGGAATTTCAGATTTAGAGCCTGAAATGACACTGCTTACATTTCTTACAGCAGGAAAAAATAAAAATCAATCCATGGAAGTGGTATTATTAGAAAAAAAAACCTTTTTGATTCACTTCGCGGCTTCACAGCATTCCCAGAATTCAACCCCACGAAGGTGAGATGCTCTTCTACTCGTTTCTTTACTGGCATAAAAGCTGTTAACTACCAGTGATAACCCATTTCCTTAGCACGAGGAGCTTAAATACCACCTGACAGCACAAGTCCCCTGAACATGCCCACAGAGCAGCCACCTACGTGGCTAATGGACTCACGCAGGGCACCGGAGGATACGCTGGAGTCTATTGCCACTTAACAGCTCTTACAAAGGCAAGAGAGGAAAGTTTATTGTCATGGAACAGGCGACATAAATATATGTCAGTTGTCATTCCCTGTGACATCAACGTGTGTTTTACCTCAGGTTATTGTTTAAGTAATAAATCCTAACAAGGTGAGCTCCCATCCCACGGAGCATCTCCGGGAGGTGGAGACACAAGGTGATGGCAAGAACGCTCCAGACATGATAATTCCTGACAGCTGCTGCTTGAGCACAAGTTAAATTGAACAGTTTATCTCGGCATAAAGATGTTATAAGGTTTTATGTTTAATTTAAAAAAATTAACATAAAACCCAGAGAAAGCAGAGTTAGGCAATCTTTCACAAACATGACATACTACAATCACTGTATAAGCTGGATTAGTACTTATTACCATGCTACTAGAGAATTAAGCTGTTTTTAGACCACCAAAGAGCTTTAAATTGCAACTTTTGTCTCTGTAAGAGAAACCTATATTTAAAATGTCTGCTAAATTCAAATTAACAGCTACATCATTAACTTACCATCTCCCCCCCCCTTCAACTGCTATTATGGAATTCTTATCTAGACCTATCAATGCTACAACATATAATATATACAGTACTCCTCAATAAATATATTGTGTGAATCCTCACAAACCCTGCATTGAAGGTGACCTTCCTAGCATGACTGCCCTAGCTATCCTCTCCAAAATATCCCCAAGCGTTCCAGTGTGTTACAAACGACCTTCTTCCACAGAGCAGGACCACCACACAAGCAGGAGCACTACTGCCTTGGAGCCTGGCCAAATTTCATGCCCATCATCCATACAAGCTCTGATCTTACACTAAAGTTTGTGCTTTAATCTGAATCACATAACATGAGGAAAGATCAAGACAATCTCACAAGAAAGATGGGGACAATCCTTTTAGCAGGGCCTCTTGTCACAGGACAAGGGTTGACTAGGTTTAAACTAAAAGGGGAGATTCAAACTAGATAGAAGGAAGGCATTTTTCTACACTGAGGATGGTGAGACACTGGCCCAGGTTGCCCAGAGAGGTGGTAGATGCCTCAACCCTGGAACCATTCCTGGTGAGGTTGAACTGGGCTCTGAGCAACCTGCTTGAGCTGAAGATGGCCCTATCTAGTACAGGGTGGTTGGACTAGATGACCTTTAAAGGTCCCTTCCAACCCCAAACATTCCATGAGCCTATGAAAATAGCCCTTCTGACTTAGGAGGACCACAGAAATATTCATGGGAAGGAAGCTGGAGCATTATCACACACTCAGAGCCATGATGTGTCCAGAGATGCTCTGAACTTTGCTGCTGTCTTCCCTGTGAATTTACACCAAAGGACAGAAAACTGGTAAAATAGAGAAGCTTTTACTTTTTTTAAAATTACCAGCAGACAAAATAACTAATACAAGTTTCCATTTATATCAAGCAAATTATAAAAGTAAAGGGGGCTAAAGTATTTTTATTTTGCTTTATAAATCTCCCTTGTGTCACGTCCCTGTGATTTACTCTTTTATGGCATTGCCCTAAATCTTTCAATTTAATTCCCATGCAACTTAACTAAAAACACATTCTGCCTTCCCCTTGGGAGACCACACAGGGCATATTTATGTACCTATGGATATGGAGGCTGAGCACTCTAACTCACCAGGCGTATGGCACAGACAGAGCTTCAAACACCACCTGGTTTTTACTGGAATATTCCCTCTGTTTGGCAGAAGTTCCTCCAGGGCCAAGGACTCATGGAGGTGGCCACTGTTTGCACTGCAGCAGGGGTAAACCAGCTCTCCCTGGGAAAGGAGGATTTCTGTAGGGTGAGTTCCTGCACTGCACGTGAAATCCAAGGCCATAAATCTCTGCTGCAAAACAACTTCATTCACAGTAAAACTGAGTTTATGATTGAAGATCTGGAGGTCCAGAGAAGAGGTACAAGCACCTTTTGCCTGCGAGGTGCAGTATTACACTAAATAAAGTGATTTTTGGACATTGCTACAAGTATGAGCCTTGTAGGGGAAAAAGATACTAAAAAACCCCCATTTAATTAGATAGCACTGACTGAATTGACAGTCATCCAGTCTTCAGGAGGGGAAGCAGGATGCTGGAAGAAGTGTCCTTGCACTCATTTAGAACTAAAACACTTGGAGGCATCAAATCCCACTGTACTTCTCACAGGGCACTGAGTGCTTTGTTCTCACACAGCTCCAGATTACACCGTTATTTATAAATACACTTCTTTCCCCAAGATTACAGTTGGGAAGCCTCATGTCATACAGCAGCAAGTCTCAATTTACCCCAAATACAGTTTATTATGGACATGGTTCTTG